AGAAGAGGGCCCGTTATGTCTTCCTGTTGCAGCCACTATTTTCTTCTAACATGACATTTCTCACATTGTAGAGAAAGCCAGTCTGCCTGCCTACTTGGCACATCACTGCAATACCTACATCTGAGGCAGGGCTCACTCAAAGGAGAGAATAGGGACTATCTACTGAATAAATCAGTGACCTGCATGAGAGAGCACAATGCTTGTGTAGAATACTCTGAGTAATGTAACTGTGAAAATTAGATTGAAACACAGTAACATTTCATAAATTAAGAATAACAGTATTTTGAACACTAAAGCAGTATGGTATCGTTCAGAAAAATGAACACTAATAATGCAAATTTAATTCATTGCTTGATGCCATCTCCAAAAGTGTCACACAAAAGAGATGACAACAAAAGTCACTGAAAAAGGACAGCGATAGCACCTTTTGGGTGGCAAAGAGAATGGCCATGATGTAGTGGACTATACTTGCCTACAAATCAAAAGACCTGAGTTCTCATAACCCTGGTTTCAAATCTAGTCACTAGCTCTGAAACGATCACTTCTCTGGATAGTAAGAACCTCTCTAATGCAAAAATGCTGGAATTTTATGGGAATAAAAGATTCCAGGAAGATGATGGCTATGACAATATAATCTTTTAATCTCTCCAATTCCCAACATAAAAACAGACAGGGCAACTATATTTCAAAACCACAGACAAAATATACTACAAAACTAAGTGACAAGATATCCACAAAAACACCAAGAGCCACAAGATCTGCATCTAGATAGCGGAAAGAAAAGGGAGGCACCAGGGCAAATGATAGATCTAAAATCATGTAACTCCAAAAGATGCCACAGCTGGTCACTGGAAAGTGAGATGGGCCATCCTGAGGACAGTAACACACTGGAAGGGCTTTGCCCCCTTCAATACTGGGTGGGTACAGAGGTCCTCAGGAATGGCTGACACAGCCTATGAACTCATGAAACTGACCCTTCAGGCTTCTCTTCCAGGACAGGATCCCACACTGGGGAGAAACAATTGAGAGAGGACTCAAAAATTCAGCAAGGTAGGGATAACAGAGAGAAAGAGAAAAAAGGTTCAGATAAAAATAGGATAGAAACAGGGCCAGGAAATCACAGAAAGCAGCCACCACCTTTTTAACACTGTATGAACACAGCAGGAGAGTGAGCTCTGTGGAGTGAGAAAAGCTATCCTGAATTAGCTCTTGCTCTAAAAGTTCAAGAAAATGAATTTCACATGAAAACAAGCAATAGCAAAGTATCAAGGTCAAATCCCACACAAAATTAAAAGGAGAAAAATAAGGAGAATAACATTACAGACATTGAAAGCATGCCAGAAAGACATGTTCACAGATCAGATCGAAATGTAACCTTTTATTTCAAACTAGAGGCCCGGTACACAAAATTTGTACACTTGGTGGTGAGGGGTCCCTCAGCCCGGCCTGCCCCCTCTCACAGTCCAGGAGCCCTCGGGGGATGTCCAACTGGGGGTGGGCCTAAGCTGGCAGTTGGACATCCTTAGCGCTGCTGCAGAGGCAGGAGAGGCTCCTGCCACTGCCGCTGCGCTCACCAGCCATGAGCCCGGCTTCTGGCTGAGCGGCGCTCCCGCTATGGGAGCGCAGTGACCACCAGGGGACAGCTCCTGCGTTGAGCAAGATCCGGCCAAAACCAGCTCTCCAACATCCCCCAAGGGGCCCCAGATCATGAGAGGGTGCAGGCCAGGCCGAAGGACCCCACCGGTGCACAATCGAGGCCGGGAGGGACGCGGGAGGTTGGCCAGCCGGGGAGGGGCCACGGGAGGGATCCAGGGTGTGTCCGGCCCATCTCGCTCAGTCCCGACTGGCCGGATCCCAGCAGCAAGCTAACCTACTAGTCAGATCGTCTGCCCCCTGGTGGTTAGTGCATGTCATAGCGAGTGGTTGAGCGGCCTTAGCATATCATTAGCATATTACGTTTTGATTGGTTGAACGGACGACCGGACGACCAGACACTTAGCATATTAAACTTTTATTATATAGGATGAGCTAAAAGATGTTTTCAAAAATGACACAGGCTATGAAAGGACAATATAAATCAGAAATGAAGTGACAAGATTCAGGAAAGAATTTTTTTTTTTTTTTAACGCTGAGACAGCAGGAAAGAATTTTTTTTGATCATTTCTGAAATAAAGACTACACTAGACAGAACACGAGTGAATGGACACAACAGATATCTTAAGAGAAGGTGAAAAAAAGGAACATTTTCTAAATAAAAAAGAAATGAAGCCGAAACCGGTTTGGCTCAGTGGATAGAGCGTCGGCCTGCGAACTGAAGGGTCCCAGGTTCGATTCCAGTCAAGGGCATGTACCTGGGTTGCGGGCACATCCCCAGTAGGAGATGTGCAGGAGGCAGCTGATCGATGTTTCTCTCTAATCGATGTTTCTGACTCTCTATCTCTCTCCCTTCCTCTCTGTGGAAAATCAATAAAATATATTTAAAAAAAAAAAGAAATGAAGAAAGAGATAAAAGGGGTTTGGAAGTCACAAAAAGTAAATATAGGCGATAAAGCTACAAATACAGCTAAGAGGACTCTCAGAATAAAAAACAAACAAACACAATTTTAAAAATTAAATAAATATAAATAAATAGAAAGAAAATTACAACATAGAAAAACTTCCCTGAAATTAAAAGAAAAAACTTCTAAAACCAAATATTGAAAGCATCCTATATAATAAAAGCCTAATATGCAAACTGACCCCTTGGGCGGTCGTTCAACCACTCGCTATGATGTGCGCTGACCACCATGGGGCAGCACAGATCATGGCAGGCATCAGCAATGCGGTGCTGGCAGTGGGCAGCAGTGGAGGCACTGCCAGCCCCAATAGGCCCTGATGAGAGCGGGACCACAGAGGGATGGTGGAGCAGCTGAGTGGGCAGCGCCAGGCCAAGGCGGGTGCAAGCGGGGGCCCGATTGCCCAACCAATCACCGTGTAGACAGTGACCAGTGGCAGCGGGGGGCGGGGCTGCCACTCAGCTCCCAGGTGCTGAGGGAGCCGGGCAGGGGGCCCAGCCCTGATCAGTCACCCCACTGGTGGGATGGTGGAGGTGATGGGGCAGCGCCAGACCAAGGTGGGGTGCCAGGTGGGACTGTGGGGCTGCGAGCCTAGGGGCGCGAGCTGGGGCCGGATCCCCACAGGCCACCCCAAGGGACCCCACCCATGCATGAATTCGTGCACCAGGCTTCTAGTATTGGATAACAACCAAGAATGAGTAACACATTCTAGTAAACACATAGACACAATCCAGTAAAATTACTAGGCTTTATTTAAAAAAAAAAATCCTTTGGGTATCTAGGAAAAACAGCAAGTGACTTTTAAGGGGTGAAAAAATTAGAAGAGCATCACTCTTTAGCAGCAACACTTCACACCAGACAATAAATTAAAAGTAACATACTGAAGGCACTCAAGGAAAGAAAATATGAGACAAGGATTTTAAATCCACCAAAACTGACTTTCACGTTTAAGGAATACAAACATGCCAGAACTCAGGGAATATTGTTCCCATGAACACTTCCTGAAAAATCTATTAGAGAATGAACTTCAGACAATCCAAATGAATAGAGGGAGATCAGCATAAGGACTGGTAGCATTACACAAATAGTTACTTATAAAACTGTGACAAAATGAGAGCTAGAGGGGAAATAGTGTATATATAGTGGCAGAATGGTCAGACAGTGTAGATGCAGCACACCTATTCTTAAAGCATAGGAAGAACACATACAAAAAAAATTCTTTTTAACTTTTTTAATAAGTACTTGCTAGTGTAGTCCTGAATTTGAATAGGAAGTATCAGTATGACCTCATGAAGCACTTTTATTTAAAAAAAACACACACAAAAAACTAGCTCTTTCCACTGAAAAGGCCTAGAAATAAAGATCTCTCCAATATAGATGCATATTCTTAACAGGTAGACTGTGGTTTTGAAATAGCCATTTCCTACTAAAGACAAGCAGAGCTTCTCAGGTGTGGTTGATTCTATATCTGGGGCAGGCTATGTTCAAGATGGTCCTGGAACTTTTGTCACACAAGATTGTAAGTAAGCTATCAAAGTCCACCAAGTCACCTCAAAAGCACTCAAGAGCCAACCTAAAGAGGCTACCACTGGCCAAAGATGAGACAATTTGAGCTTTAAATAGAATAATAATTGTAATTTATCAAATATGTTAAAATTTATGAATTCATAGTAATATGTAAAAAAAAGATAACCTAGTTAATCACCTTTGGAGGATAAAGAACCAATTTATTATCCTGAGAATAAAGGGGAGGAAAAAACCCTTATCCTTGCCTTCCCTATATGAACTATATCACTGAGTAGCTAAATAGTAAATGAAGGGAAGCATCTCTTTAGAGAGTATTCCAACTAATAAATGAAAAATAAATCATTGACTATCACCATTTGCAACCACCAATAAACCGATAGATTTATGCACTGAACATTAACATCTGCTGACATCATAAAAAGAGACATTGCCTGGCTAGTGTAGCTCAGTGGTTTGAGTGTCGACCTATTAACCAAAGGTCAGATTTGATTCCCGTCAGGGCACATGCTGGGGTTGCAGGCTCGATCCCCAGTAGGGTGCGTGCAGGAGGCAGCTGATCAATGATTCTCTGATCATTGATTGATGTTTCTATCTCTCTCCCTCTCCCATACTCTCTGAAATCAATAAAATATATTTTTAAAAAAGAGACATGATGTGCCTCCTGATGAAAGAACGCAGACCGCTATTCTTACCAAAAGGATCAAACATGAGTCTAAATAAGCCTCTGGATGCATAACTGGTTTTCTTGACCACAGTTCTGTTCCCTTTGCTTGAATTTTCTCATATAAAGTTTCAGAAACATTCTAACGTAATACTCAGGGTTGTTCTCCTAGTCAGCGGTTCTCAACCTGTGGGTTGCGACCCCTTTGGCGGTGGAACGACCCTTTGACAGGGGTCACCTAAGACCATCCTGCATATCAGATATTTACATTACGATTCATAACTGTAGCAACATTACAGTTATGAAGTAGCAACGAAAATAATTTTATGGTTGGGTCACAACATGAGGAACTGTATTTAAAGGGCCAGAAGGTTGAGAACCACTGTTAGATGATGGGCTGGTTTGATCCATTCCTGACAGGTCTGGTCCCTGAGTGGTTATCAGCATTATATTATGTACAGTCTGACCAGGGTTAAGGGCCACAGAATAGCATTTTCCCCTCAATTAAGTTAACCAAAATAATTATAAAGTGGACCTTGAATTCATTAAGAGTATCCGCCAATCGATTTCATCTAGATTTTAAAATTTACACACAATATTCCATGATATTTTCTAACATCACAAAAATCAGATTTGCATTTCTTTGTTATTCCTTTTTGGAAAAAGTTTTCAAAACACATTTTGGCTAAATTTTGCCAACCTGAAGTGGACCTGTTAAATGGAATAAGATACTGTATAGCTTCAGGCAAACTGAATATTCCAATAAATATTCCAATATACAGAATGGAATTAGTCAGTTTTATCCAAAAGAATAAACACACAGGGCTGAAAAAGACAGATGACCGGAACTTGTGTAAGAATTACCTCAGAAATGTTTTTGTCAGTTTCTTTTCTTTTTTCTTCCAGTTTCCTTTCAATACCTACAATTCCTACAGCCCTTATTCTTCCTGGCTGAAAATCAAAAGTAGAAAATAAAACATACAAAATAGGAAGGACACAATCTTTTGTAACCCACCACACTGTGTTTTCAATGACGGGAAAGGACCACAAAGAACCAAAGAAAAACAGCATACAACTCCATCTAGTTTCCTTTCAAAACATTGGTCAGTTTCTTGCTGTATATGACAATCTTCAAATCATTCTAAAGAAGCACCGAAGATACAATAAATGGCATATTTTACTTTTCATTTCAGATATAAATTAAATTTCCTATCCATTTTTGTTCTTTGGCAACTTATTATGTATGTATCAGATACTTAATAGGGTCTCAAAAAATAGTTAAAAGTTTTGGTACTTGATAGTTATTGTACAAATTGCTTTTACACATATGAGCATCTGTTCACAGTTGGTGGTTAATTTAGACTGGCCTGGAAAATGTCACCAGTAGTATTTATTGTCAGTTCTCTTAGATGCCACATAGATTATGAACAACAGGATGAAGTCAGTGGAATCTAACTTCTACCACTCCAGAAATTACTCTGGTAAGTAGTAATTACTTTTTACTAAGTGTTTACTGTCTACGAGCACTAAGTTAGGTTCTATGAAAATAAATTTTTAATTAAATATCATTATTTTGTTTCTGGAAAGTTCTATAATCACAGATATCTTATTACTTAATAAAGATCCAAATACAGAGCTGAAAACACTAGATTAAGAAACAGTTTTAAAAATACCTGTGGTCCTCTATTTGTTTGGAATGACTGGGAAACTGGCATATTCTCCCATCTTCTCTGTGTCATTTCCTCTGATAAACGCCTATAAAACTGTTATACACATAGATACACTTTAAATGAGTCAGTCAGGTTGTGGCATCCTCATTGAATTAATTACTTAACATTTCTTTAGTTGAAAGGTCTAGTCAATCATTTGCAACAAGCCTAGAGTTCTCAGAGACATCAAAGAAAATCAAAGGAAGTTCTCTTCTTGGATCAACTTCAGAAAGAATAAAGAAAAAAAAAAGAAGGAACTGACCTTCTATATAAAGCAAGCTATTTCAACAAAGAGATGAGTGACAATGAAATAAATAGACTTGCTTTAAACAATTCTGCCTGTGTGGATTGTTTTCAACTTATAGTGAAACAGACACAGTGCCAAGAAAAATATACAACCATTAACCATGAAGAAAGTTAAGAATAATTTGTCTAGTTAAAACGTGTAGTCAGAAATTGGGGCTAAAACGTGCCTCTGCTCACAAAAAGATCAACTATATTTTTCACTTACAGTGAGATTGACTGCAGTTAGTGACTTATATTTACTTAGTGCCTATTGTTGTGAAGAGCACTGGGTGCGAAGCCATTGAAAAAGAACATAAGTAAGTTATGACATCAATGGGAAGATAAAAACACACTTATAAATGCCTAAAAATATTTATACAGCAATTTATTAATCAGAACATATAAACTATATTCTAAAATTAATATGTAAGAACAAAGGGCTAATAACGACAGGACACTAACAAAAAATAGAGATTATTAATGTGGAGAAATTGAAAATCTCATAATTCTGAAGCTATAGGGATTATGACAATGTGGTGTTGACGTAATATGGTATTGGCACAGGAACAGAATAGCTCAGAAATGGAAAGGTACCAGTGCTTATATGTAAAAAAAGAACCACTCAAGTGATTAGATTTGTTGGAATTCATAAACTGCCTTCAACTGGACTACATATACCACTGAAAACTTTACTAGTAGCCTAATGGCATGACTTAGCTTCCACTCTTTCCTTGTGACCACACACTCCTGCTTCTTGTTCCCACTGTCACCTAAACTTCATATTCTTTACTGATAAGACGTAAGCTATCAAAAATGTTATAAACATGTGGTGAAACCTATGTTGCCTACATCATATTGACAATATGGAAACAATACTGCCTCCCATCATATTAACAAACAAAAATATATGCAAGCACACATTTATGGCCTAATTTTATTCATATACTTACCTCAATCTGGCCATGTTCTTTGAAGGAGAGTTTGATGTAGGAGTTCTTACTACTCTGTAATGGACCAAGCTCTTTGTTAGGAGGAGCTGGGTGAAGATGAACCACTATTTTAGCACTAAAGAAAAAGCAAATGTAATGTATTAAATTGCCTTTTAAAAATCACTAATCCTATTTTTATAACTTTTAATATATTTCAGGTCACTTTTAAAATTCACATAGAAACAAAGACTATCCTTTTGAAGTTTGTATTAATTCAGTATTAATGAACCTTTCAAAAATATCTCTACTTAAAACTTGCAAGCTATGCACAAAAAAGTTCAAGTTATTAGGTCTATAGATTAAATATAATGTGGTTTCAGGAAATAAGTTCAAAATAAATTTGCAAAATTTGGGGTGGTTTATGATTTTGGTTTATGATTAGGGTTGTCCATCTACAGAGTCATCTCCAGAGGTAACCTCAGGGCCTATAATTTCTGCCTAACCATAGTACTTAATTCACTTGACAACAAAATGTGAAAACTTATCTATGGAATCCTTCCCAGTGGTCATAGTCACAGCCAGTCCTTGCAGCAGATTGGCCTGAAGGATAAATCCCTCCCATTGAGGTGCCAACAGTAATCAAAGCTCAACTACAACAGGAGGGTGTACATATCCCACCGGGGGTAGGGGACGCAACTGGAGTGCCCAGCTCAGGTGAACAGAGAGGCTGTGCCACTGGACCCTACTGGACACTCTACCAAGCCTGGGAGACATAGCAGCTCTACCTAATACACAGAAACAAACACAGGGAGGATGCCAAAATGAGAAGACAAAGAAACATGTCCCAAATGAAAGAACAGAAGAAATCTCCAGAAAAAGAACTAAAAGCAAGCAAAGTACTAGATAAAGAATTCAAAGCAATGGTTATAAGGATGCTCAAAACATTTAGGGAAGCCCTGACCGGTTTGGCTCAGTGGATAGAGTGTCGGCCTGCGGACTCATGGGTCCCAGGTTCGATTCCGGTCAAGGGCATGTACCTTGGTTGCAGGCACATACCCAGTAGGGAGTGTGCAGGAGGCAGCTGATCGATGTTTCTCTCTCATCAATGTTTCTGACTCTCTATCCTCCTCCCTTCCTCTCTGTAAAAAAATCAATAAAATATATATTTTTTTAAAAATTTAGGGAAAAACTAGTTGAACTTAGAGAGAACTTCAACAGCATAAAAAAGGACATGAAAACCATAAAAAAGAGCCAGTCAGAAATGAAGGATATACTAACTGAAATAAAGAATAATTTAAAGGGACTCAATGGTAGAGTAGACAAAGCCAAGAATCAAATCAGCGATTTGGAATATAAGGATGTAAAAAATCACCCAATGAGAACAACAAAAAGAAAACAGAATCCAAAAATATGAAGATAGTGTAAGGAGACTCTAGGACAGGGGTGGGCAAACTTTTTGACTCGAGGGCCACAATGGGTTCTTAAACTGGACCGGAGGGCTGGAACAAAAGCATGGATGGAGTGTTTGTGTGAACTAATATAAATTCAAAGTAAACATCATTACATAAAAGGGTACGGTCTTTTTTTTTTTTTAGTTTTATTCATTTCAAACGGGCCGTAGTTTGCCCACGGCTGCTCTAGGACAACTTCAAGCATACTGACATTCACATCATGGGGTTGCCAGAAGGAGAAGAGAAAGAGCAAGAAATTGAAAACCTATTTGAAAATATAATGACAGAAAACTTCCCTAACCTAGTGAAGGAAATAGACATACAAGTCCAGGAAGTGAAGAGAGTCCCAAATAAGATGAACCCAAAGAGGCCTCTCCAAGACACAAAATAATTGAAATGCAAAAGGTTAAAGACAAAGAGAGAATCTTAAAACAGCAAGAGAACAGACTTATCCTATATAATAAAAGCCTAATATGCAAATTGACCAAACGGTGGAATGACCAGTCGCTATGATGTGCAATGACCATCAGGGGGCAGACCCTCAATGCAGGAGCTGCCCCCTGGTGTTCAGTGCGCTCCCACAGCGGGAGCACCGCTCAGCCAGAAGCCAGGCTCACAGCTGGTGAGCGCAGCAGCAGTGGCGGAGCCTCTCCTGCCTCTGCGGCAACACTAAAGAATAGCAAGCAGGCGGGTGGTAAGGAGTAAGGGCTCCCAGATTGCGAGAGGGGACCGGCCAGGCTGAGGGAACCCCCCAAGTGCACAAATTTGTGCACTGGGACTCTAGTATATCTACAAGGGAGCTCCCATAAGACTGTCAGCTGATTTCTCAACAGAAACTTTGCAGACCAGAAGGGAGTGGCAAGTAATATTCAAGGTGATGAAAAGCAAAGACCTATAACAAATATCACTCTACCCAGCAAAGCTATCATTTAGAATTGAAGGACATATAAAGAGCTTCGCAGACAAGAAAAAGCTAAAGGCGTTCATTACCATCAAACCAGTATTATATGACATGAAATGTTAAAGGGTCTCCTTTAAGAAGAAGGAAAAAAATATGAATAAATATGTATCTATCAACAAATTAATCTAAAAAACAAAACAAAATAAACAAGCAGAACAGAAACAGACTCATAGATAAAGAGAACATTTTGAAGGTTGCCAGACGGGAGGGGGTTGGAGGGACGGGTGAAAAGAGTGAGGGGATTAAGAAGTATAAATTGGTTGTTACAGAATAGTCATCAGGATGTAAAGTACAGCACAGGGAATCCTATCTAATAAAAGAGAAACATGGTAATTAGCGTACGACCGCTACCCTTCCCATTGGCTAATCAGGGCGATATGCAAATTAACCGCCAGCCAAGATGGCGGCTAATTTGCATACATAGGCGCAATGATG